TGCTCGTGTCGATAATTCCTGATTCTTACTTTCCCCGCCGTAGCAAATACTAAAAACAAACCAGACATATTTGCGTAGTTACGAGCTAGAAATCGAATGAAAAGTAACTTTCGTCTATGCAGCTGCTGAAATTATTGGCGAAAACAAAATTTCATACCGTTCTAAAAAAATTATTTTTAGTTGTGGGAGTTAATTACAATCATTTTTGGCCAGTAGACATACTCTAGAAATCCTACACATTTTTGTAATAAAATAAAAATTAACGAGATACACTCTTCCACAGTGGAACAACATATTAAAAAGATCACGCATCAAATTGTAAGGGAATGCCCGTAAGAAGGATTTAATCTTCGTAATGGCTAGCTTATGGTCACTGGTGGTCAACAGTGAGGTTGACATCAAGGTCAGCGGTCCAGTGAAGATCCAGAAATGGTCAAGAGGTGGGACCAATCGAAATAGTTTCTTTGTAGACAAGACAGTCTTAACTGTTAACTTTAACTTTGGATCTGACTGGTCTCCCCACTCTTTCATCACCTTAATCATATAAGCAGGGTCTCTGCGAAGAATTCTTCAGTCTCGTCGCGGATTCGGGAGTGGGCAAATAGCCAGAAGTGAACCGGGGACCGCTGATGACCGCTGATGGCCGCTGCTGACCACTATTGGCCAGGGGTGACCAGGGCTGACCAGTGCTGACCAGTGCTGACCAATACTGACCACTACTGACCACTACTGACCACTACTGACCAGTGCTGACTCGCGTTCCTGCCACTACTGACCACTACTGACCACTACTGACCAGTGCCGGACGGTGATGACTACGGTAAGAACTGTTTAAAAATTCTCTCCCCTCTTCTATTCTATCGTTTGATACCAATTTCGCTTCACTGAACTGATTTTGCCTTGCTTGCCTAACTGACGTTGCTATAATATGAATATTTTCTTACTTTACAGCTGGCCCAGTGGTAACTACCCTATATACTGACAACAAGTAGTAAGTCCACTCCACTTATTTATATTTTATTATTTTTATTTGTTTGTTTGATGTGAATTCAACTTCATTTATCTATCTGATTTTATTTGGTTCCTATGAATGTTCCTTTTCTCGGTTTCCACTTTTACATTGTTCTTCGAATTTATTTGATTGCTTCGATATGTATAATATTGCAGGATATATTAATGTAACATTGTTTTCGATCATATACAATATCATGAATTTTTATTTTTAAGTTAGGTGATAGGTTGATAGGTCATTTTTAAGTGTTTAAAAACCTCCTTTTTAACCCCTTAGCTTAATGATGTTTCAGAGACATGATGAGTCTACCGGGCCAAACATGAACAAGACCTCTCAGAGAAGTGATAAGTCTACCGGGCCAAACCTTGGTGACACCTTTGGCACGAACAGTTGGAAATTAAATCGTAAGTCAAAGGGGTAAAACAACTGGTTGTATGCGTGGTTTCTTTGGCAAGTGTAGTTAGTACCTTTTGCTTAAAATTATAATCTTCTTGCACACCGCGATTTTTAAGATGACAAATGTCATAGTAGATTCATTTTTAATTTGACACTGATTTTAAAATGAATATATAATGAGTACATATACATATATGAATAGTTCACTTTCTCTCGTCCGCTCGTTCTCTGGTTCTCGCTTTCCGAGATTATGTCTCGACCGAAAGGACCGGAGAGTTTTGCTCGATCACCTCTGTTTGATAGAATGAAACATGTGACACCTGTGTATTAGGTGTGATAGCTCTTACCGCTTCAACCCCGGTGCAGCTTGGTTCAGCTTAAGTGGGGCCTCACCGAGCGCATATATTCTCCTCTTTATACGGAAAAGAGAATGACCTCCGGTGAGAGTTCCTGACCCATATCCGTTCTCGAGTACTAAGCGGGTCCTGTTGTGACCGTGTGCCCTCCAGGGCCCGGCGGTTGTACGTAGAGAGGTCCGATAGACGTGGGTCAGGGGCGCGACTTGCTTTTCTGATAATCAAGGCCGGGGGGGATCAATCTGATACCCACACTCACTGCACGCTATGAGCACGTGTCGCGTCGCGTTTTATTTAAGCGTGCGATGTTTTTACATGCCGCAATTTTTGATATGACAAATATCCTAATATCAATCGAAAGTAGAGACATGATTATAATATCTTTTATAATACTTATAATTATATTAATTTTAGAATGAGTGTCAAATTAGTAGCTTCCGATTGTTCTTTACATTCTTCGATAATTAAATTCACTTTCATAATTGAGTTGACGACTTTGGGTATCTTCGATATCGAAGATACCCAAAGTCTTTCTTTACTTATTAAAATATATCATTAGATCGACGTGCAAGAAGATATTTCGCGACGAATACATTTTAGAGTCAAAGTAACCTCGTATATTATGTACTATTTTTACTTTCTCACTGCACTTGCCTGTAGTTGTAGTATTTGTAGTTTTAGAGAGTCAGTGTTGTTCTCTTACTAATCTATTAAACAAGTTTCTGTTACAGAGCATATTCCTATGGAAGTTTTAGGTTCATAGAGGTAACAATTAAGAATTGTAACAATTTTGTTTGATATTGCTTTGTTTGTGTTTCAGGAAATCATCGTGGGATAAATAGAAGATAGAAGAAAGAAGAATGTATTTCATGTATTTTGTTTCAGATTGCTTAGTTTATGTTTTAATAATTTAGATTTATAGTTAGGTAGAATGTAACAGTATGTTTCAGGAAATCTTCGTCGAAGGATCAACAAGGAAGAATATATTTTCTATGTATTTTGTTAGATGATTAGATAGGTAGGATGTAAACGAATTTAGATCTATAGTTAGGTGGGAATTTGGTTCTCTCTATTAATCATTATATCTGGCAGGCAATATTTTCGTCCATTTCTCTGTTTTGTTGATGAGAATTTACAGGCAAATTCTTTCTCGAAAAACTCTTTCGTTGGTTGTTTCCTTCGTTGATTACACTTTCGTTTATTGCTTCTTTGACCAATGATCGCTGGTCATAAAAGATCTTTATTAATGGAGGGTGGTTGGGAATCGGTTAGGGCGGGTCTCCATTCGCAGCAACCTCCACGTGGTGAGACCTGGATAATACTATTTAGGGTTTAATTAATAATCGTATCACTCTTAGCTGGGTAATGCAATTATTAATTAAAAACTAAATAATATTTGCAAATTGGCTGCGATCCGCTTTGCATAGGTCATCATAAATATAGAGCTTCTTTGCTAGGTTAGTTTTGATTCTCATTGATTCATCAAAGATTCAAGAGTATTGTTACATACGGGGTATACAGGTAGATCTTTCACCCAATCGTTTTTTTTTACCCATTTTTATGGGGTCTCGAACCATTACCATTTTTGTGTCATTTGCAACGTTACCAACAGATTCAGAAATGAATTTTAATTCCTTCCATAGTCAACTCACATGTATTTTACGTACTCACTACAACTGTCTGCCCATCAATGCTAATTCAACGAATAGTTTCTCAACTGACCGCCATCCATGGGAAGAGGCCGCTAAAATCAGCTCTGAATTTTCAGGTCGGTATGGCAGTCAGATTCGGCCGCGAAAGACCATAAGGTGAAAAGTCTACTCGTATACCTCGTCTGTGGTGAAAGGTTTACTCGTACACCTCACTAAGAACTCACCTAAAGAACGATCGAATAAAGATCTTGGGAATTATAGCCAGTTGAACAACTGGATAGCCATCTAGCAGTTAACGGACTCAACTGCGCTCAACTGCACTCGTTTTGTAGTAAAGGCAGTATCCTACAGTATTCTACATATATTTCTGTTTCTATTCCCTTTTTAAAAGCAACTTCCTAGTGGTGGGAATTTTTAAATACTGGAACAATAAAGACGGGAGAAAAAGAAATTTAGAATACACTTGAATCGTGAGAATAGTTTGTTGATAAGGAATTTATAATATAATATAACATACGATTTATTGTACAGTAACAATCGTTCGTTTATATACACATCTACGAGTTCAGCACTGGACGATCTCTCCCTCCCTACGTTTGGTCCGCTTCTATGCGAAGAGCTGTCTGGCTATACGAATTACAAGAATCCCATTCGGATTCGCGAACCTCCTCGATCTTCTCTTTCACGCTCCCTTAACTCTGGAAACTAATCTACGGCGACAGCGGTACAAGAGTCTGTACAATATTTACACGCGGAGTTCGACGCGAGTCGCGCGCCATTCTTGCCGAGATATCAATCGTTTTATTTCACAAGTACAGATCAAATATTGTCTTCTTAGACCTAGATGCGGTACGTAGTTCGGAGAAACCACTCCGCGCAGGCTTTCATAAAACGAAAAATCGAACCCGAAGTTTCTGTACAATACGGAGAGATTGTCTGAATGGTTGCGTTAGGTTCGCTTCGATTGGCAATTTAACAGAACGTAATAAGAAAATCGCATCTTTCTGTGTACTCGAGTACAACAGTTCCCGTTTTCAAACGATAAAATCGATTACTTGAAAGCGGGGTAGAAATTTCTCGGTTCTTGAATCCCGGGCAAAAATTTTGTCTTGAGAGCGGAAATTACTGTACATTCGTTCGTTCTTCTTGCAATCTTCTCACGGTTATTACCAAGAGTATCAATACACGCGTGAGCCAACATTTCCTAGGCAAGCCTCACCCACGAATACAAATACCAAACCATAAACTGATTACGCGAACGTACAAATTTCGTAACTATCTTCTTTCTGTATACTTGGGATTCCTGCAAGTGTAAGTCCAGTTTGCGACAGGGTGCAGCGTACTGTGCAGGGCTTGATTGGTTACTTTCCACAGACCCAATACAATCATACAAATAGAAACATTCACAAGCAATCAAACATCATGGAACAAACGAAGCTTTTTATCAGTCGCGTACAGTGCCCTCGCGAGAATTAAACAGACAATTTTTAATAAAAAAATAAACACTTGTATCTCAACGAACCAACATTCAGCGATGAATCGCAACGAAAGAAGTGGCTTGTAGGTCAGAGTCCCCTTTCAGAACTAACTGTCAGTCAACAACCCTGTCAAGTCAGATGTCTGGGTTCTCGTTTCGGACACATAAGCGGGTGTATCGGGCGTGTCTGGTACCACCAGAGGTTCGGTCTGGTAGCTGTACGCGCGAGGATTCACCATCGTCTTCGACGTGTTACACAGTTTTCCAACTTGCACCCTCCTTCTCCAGTCCGCGACGCGTATCGACTTGCCGTTATCCGATTTTCTACGGTTGGGGGAGGAACTTGTACCGCGATCTCCGAGGAACAGCAAAGAGATCCGCCTCCAACCGACAGTCTCTTTCCTCGCGTCGAGGTTTTGCCTGGGGACGTTCTCGTTCGTTCCCTCGGTGCTGGCTTTGCACAGTTTCTCGACCTCGTTCGTGGACGGTTCCTCTGCACCTGGACGAGCCGAGTCTCTGCCCAGGAGGTGAGCAAGCCCGCCAAGGAACGTGCTACCCTGCGAGGTGGCTTCTTTTTTCCGTTGGGGGGACGCGATGCTCTTCATCGTCTCGACGATCCTCTTCTTCAGCCGAGAGATGTCCATGGATCGTATCTTTCGCGCGGTTAGGCGCTGTTTCGGGGGTTGGAGGGTTGTTTTCGGCTGGTCACCCGACGTGGACAGAATCTTGACGCGACGGTTGCGTCGGCTGCGCAGGAGGCAGATCAATAATATCTGAAAGATGAAAGAATGGGTTAGAATATCATTAGAATTGTACATGTGTCCAGGATCTGTTCTTGGATGGGTATTGACACGGTTTTCGAGAGCGTTTATACTCTCTCAAAATGCAAAGTACGAAACGAAAATATGATCCATAAGTCAGGAATAGTTCACAACTGTATGGAATAGAAATTGTATATTTTTGGTCACTGTTTTCCACGGCTCGGCTTTCCCATCGGCGACAATATTTTCGAAAACCTCGACGGTTACATTATCCCGTGGGGAAGCTCGCACGGAATACGGTTTACAACATAATTCGTGGCAGCGTCGCGTTACTGTCGCCACTTTAATCCTATCTCCGGATGAATATCCGGTTGCTTTGGCGGCGTCGCAGGTCGGAAGTTGGCCAAGTTGCGTGGAATCGAATTTACAATATATTTTGCGCGACACCTTCCTGCGCTTAATTGCCGTTCGCTAACGTTCTCGCGTTTCGGCAGACACATTTAACCGCATTGGCTCCGAGGCTCGCGTGATTCCCCGTGTTCCCGAGTTTGCACGCGGCGTGCAAGCTCCTTGCCAATTTTGGAAAATCTCTAAGCCAAACACCGTGATACGGAAATTCGACCCTTTGGAAATGAGTAATTCGTCGGTGTCGATAGACGCAATAATTATTTCAACGAGTCGTAGCGACGGGATTCTAATCGATGCGCTCCAAACCCACGAATCGTTGAATGAAAATTATGCTTTGCTTCTGATACGATACGAAAGCCATACTGTACGAGATTCCCGTACTCGATCCTAAGCTAACCATTGCATCGGATGTTTACTGTCAACAGCAGGACCGTGTTCAGCAGTCGTTAACAGACAAACGTTCAACGCTCGTAAACATGAACCGAGTAATTACGTTGCATGATAATGTTTGACTACACATTACGACATTTAACCGACAGCATATTAAGGATCTAGATTAGAAAGTGCTGACCCGCTATGGTGTGCGTATGGTCCTCACCGATTACCATTTAATCCGATCGCCGTGGGATTTTCCACCCGGCGACGGGCACGAGTAATAATATAAAATGTCGACGGGCGATTGGTCGATAACAACGGTCGATAAGCAACTGATTAAACGACATTTTAATTTGATAGAAAAGTACAATCGGACGGCACAATTAAAAGTCACATTAATTTCTTGACAAACCGATATTATTTGGAATATTTATGCAAATCGAGGCTGAGAATGCGTTTCAATTTACCTGGTCGTTCGTTCCGTGGATCGAGCGACGCACGAGAATTAATTATTTCAATAATAAATATGCACGGTTGTTTTTACCGGGCTTCTAGAGACGGATTATAGTTATAAATCGCGTTGACTGATTTATCATTCGATCGCGTTAAATATTAGAGCGCGTGAATTATTTTGATGCTCTCGCAGGGGGTGAACACGGAAACGTCGAGTAATTGAATTGTATTTCTCCGGCGCGGCGATACACGCCCACGCAATTTTGTTTTTTTTTCGCCCCCTCCCCTAGCGAGAGCGCGCGAAACGTGTAACCTGTCATCGAGCTTACCTTTCGCGCGTCCGCGAAACTTTTCAATCGACAAGACGCGTAATTGGATTTACACGGATATTCGACGCGTTAACAGTATTTTTTGGACGGACGCAGGTGGATCGAGGCTGGAAAAATGTACTTTCGCGAGAGGAACGTATGTATTTGTTCCCCGCCAGAAACGACGTCCAATCGAAAAAACTAAAAATTGTCCGCCCGATGCGTCGATCCGAAGCGTTCCGCCAAAGGGCAAACGGCCTCGATGGATACCCGGAAGGAACACCATCGCGTTACTCACCGGAATTAACAATAGGACGAAGCCAACCACGGCGAGGACGTACCAGCAATTGGCCAGCCATCGCTGGAAGCTGGCTAAACTGGCGTCCGACAGCAGCAACCTCCTCAAAGTTGCCAATGGTCCGCTGGGATCCACCTGAAATTATTGTCAGCCTTTATGTCCCTTCCAAAGTTTGCTCGCGAAACTTTTCGAACCGAATGGACACTTGGGCGTCCCCTCGAAATGAAAAGAATAAACTTCGGATGCAAAAACCGTCCTCGAGCGCGGCTGAATAATTAAATTCTCACGGACACCGGGAGGAACTCGTCGAGCGCGTCTCGAGCGTTTTCTGCGAAACGAAGGCGAATTTCCGTGCTCGGATACTGGAGAACTTTACCTCTCGACATCTCTGCGAGTCGTCGCAATAGCCATTGTAATCATTGCACGGCGTGCCTGGCTTCGACAGCATGTCAGGAATATCGTAAGGCGCTGAATTCCAAGCGAAGGATGATCTACAAAGAAACGCGTCTCGTATGACGTCTGGAAGTCGAGACGACAATATGGCTCCGCGTCATTTGCAAATTCTATACACCGAGATACAGAACACCCACGCGTCTCTGTTAGGGTTTTAAAAATAAGCGTTCACAATATTTGCCCTCGAGCTGGTAGCGTTTCTCTTTGGCAATTTCTCGTATCTTCAACCGTAACAGACACGGGTGTTCCGAGGACTCGACATGTATAGCAGGGAGCATAGAAAATGTTCCAAGTTTCCCTCGACCATTTCGAGAGGGATTTTTTTCAACAAAAATAAAAGAGGGGAAATTTCTAATGTTTTGGGTGATAAGCTAAACAAGATCTAGTTTTCAATTGGTAGGGTCTCGCGAATGTCCACGTCGAGATCGATGAAGTTAGGCCCCGACGGGAGTCCATGGATCAAACGGAGGATTCACAGTTATCGCGCGGTGTAATTTCTTCTCGGGGCGCTGTTCGGTGCTATTTTCGAGGTTACTATTCCCGAATGAAACGACTGACGCAGACACTCGCGTCTGAAACCGTGTGTATGCACAATGATCGTCCCTCACAGGCACGGTTGATCCTCTCCTGGCAATTTACAACACAGTTCGCAGCTCTTGGTCGGGGGATCCTCGGGCCCGGCGATGCACTGACAGGATTCCAAGCCATAAGCCAGGCAAATGCTGCCGGTGCATTCCTGGAAGCAATGCAAGAGCCCGATAAAGTGTCAGCCTACACGCATAAACCTCTAAATACGAGGTAATTTCCGCGGGCGCCGAAGATAGATAAGCCCAAGACTTGAGCCGTTATTCTCTTACGAATCGCGTCTACGTTGTCCGTTGTTTGCACGCTCGAAGCAGCTTTGCGTTCCGCGCTGAAGCGTTCCCGGGTCGCGGCAGCAATTTTCGAAATTATGATTCCCATTATTACGTACAATTGGTGTATCTCACGACCTTATCCATATTTATTATATTTATGCATTTATTCAACGGATGCACCCTTTGATACAGAGAGCATGATAGACTATGATAAAGTATGACGAGGAACAGACGAAAGAAAGTTTGTGTTTAACATATAGAAGACTAGGAAGACAAAGGAAAGGAAGTACGTTAACGACAAACTGCTGACAACGTAGGTTGTTTCCAGGAAACTATTAAAAAGTATTCTCGTACGCCATTCCGGTGAACGTTCTATAAATACCGTCGAACGTTAAGATACCCGACAATATGAATTTTATTTAGGTGTATCGAGAACCAATAAAACACGTTTTTCAATTATCGAGAAATCGACGCCAGTACGCCGAATTCGAAGAATTCACGCCACGAGTATTATCGCTATTTGCATACAGTTTCTTTCGCTTGCACGGGTTCTAATAAACGCTACACTGCCGAATATAACGCTGGAATTAACCGTTGGAAAGATATTTATATTCAGACCGATGTGTCTCGATCGTATCGAACAGATGCGATCTCGCAGTCTCGCTTATTTCTCTCGAGTATTTGTCAAATGACCTTACGACGGTCTACAACGTGACAGATAGGAGAACATAAGTTTGCTTTTCCATTTAAATTCATTTAGAATCAACCCTGAAGTTACAGTTAAACATTGGAACCACAGGGGGTCGCATGTTTCGTCGAAACAAACGGAGACCGATGAGGGGTTATTTCTTTCGGTTGTAGCCGCGAGTAGAAACATTCGATTACAGTCGATCAAGTGGAAAACGTGTTCCGGCCGCGCGCGTGTAACAGTTTGGCTGTATGTATGCACCCTAGACCGAGCCAGGAATCGATCCCCCACGAACTGCTCTGGCTGTCCTAATCTGCAAGTACAATAACGTGTTCTTAACGCGGCGTCAAACAGCCGACGTCTGAACGCAAACCGCTTGGAAAAGTAGGAACTCCGTGGAATAATTTATTTGATAAGAACTAATGCTCGCGTTAAAGCAAAAGCTTCTCGACGGTTCGGTCGGCTCGAGCATTTCAATATTTAATACGTCAAGTTTTGTTAGAAACTCGTGCCATCGTGTTTGAAGTGGTTGTGGCGGAAAGATCAGAGGCGAAACTTTGGGAAACGCCACCCCTCGGTTCTTGGGGCATGTTTTCGGACCGCTTTCGTGTCAACAAATTTCGATTTTAACACGCGAATCAATAGTATGCTAATGTTTGATGGTGTCGAGACGAAAAATGGCGTCTCGCGTTACTTTCGTCCCGCTACGTACGGCAGGGAGGATTCACTTCGACCCTCGTTCCTTATTCTCCCCGCGGTTTACCCACTCGATCGAGGGTAGTCTCAGGATTTCTTGACAGATGAATACGCTTCCACCGGCTGAAGGGTATTTCGTTCTGCCTATGCGTTTCCGCGGAGCCTTAAATCCAACCTTCAAGCGACCCTCGAGATACGAGTCGCGGCGGAAGTAAAAGAAAAAGGGTGACGGACGCGCGTAGGAAAATGCCACGCGTTTCGATATCGTTCGGTCGGGAATTCTTCTTCGAGCCGATCGTAAGCTGCGCGTAGCAAAGCCACGGTCGTTTCGTTCCCGGGTTCGGGTTCTCCCGCGCGGGCGAAATCGACGGCTAATGGAAATTTAAGCGCGAAACTTGTCTAGTTTCAATACCTGCTCGAATTTTTTTCTCGAAAGTGGGTAGGATTTCAGGGGTATGTGTATTCACCAAATATGATTGTAATTGACTCTCGCAAGCGAAACACTTTTTTCAGAACGAATTGAAATTTTTTTTTTTCGTCGATTTTTCTTAAAAATTCGTTTATCATTTTTAACAAATTTATTTGACGCTCTACAGAAAAATTGTCTAATACGTTTTTACAAGCTATGCTGTAACGAAATATAAATAAAGACTATAAAGTGGAATTTCCGCGTCGACGCCGCGCTCGGAATTTTTTTTCGGATTTATTGTGAGTCGCCGTTCCGCGAAATCCGCACGGAAGGCGATCCCGTAGCCTAAATATCCCACGGAAATTTAAGGAAGCTTTACCATTTCGTATTTTCTGGATCGGAATTTTTATACACGAATTCTTTCGTAAAAACTGGCACTCGACGCCAAGAAATTCGTTAAATTGATTAAAAACTGAGGGTGGTACGCTTTCGCGTCGCGAAGGGTCAACGTTTCGTTTTCAAATTTTCTTTTTTCTTAAGCGAAGTAAAAGCAATTTAGGAGAGAAAGGACGTAGCGTTTGCGTAGTAAGCTGATTAAAGGCGTTGGGTAAAATTCGTCGTAAACTAATTTCTAGTTGCAGCTTCGACTTAACAATAACCAAAACGTCCCTGTCTCCGGCGCCGACACTGTAACTTTGATATCGCGTGTGCCGCGTTATGGTTCCCGCTACGATCGCGGAAACGGTATGCAGGGTCCAATGAATAAGTAACTAGCCAAGCAGCTTTGTGCGGGGAAATCGTAAATTTGCGCGAGTAATTTCAGCCACTATCGTCAGCTGCGACGATTTCATAAACTTTGGCCATAAGCTTGACTAAATGGGACATAGAATAGTTCAAGAAACCCCTGCTTCTTCGTTTCCTCCTGATCTGAGTCTTTATTACCATACTCCGGGGTGTGAAATCCCCCTTTTTGCCTATTCAGTGCTCGAAAACAAAAACCTCCGAGGATCGTTAAGACTTAACAGACCTAAAATATATCAGTGAAATTGTCTGCATCGCTTTGATTCATGAAGTGGAAAACCGTATTCTAGTTTTAGGTGATTCGAATAGCCGCCATATTCGGAACGTTGGATTTAACAGCAATTTAATAATTGTAAGTTTCCAAAGTCAGCTCGTTTCTATTTGGCCCCGTCGGTGTTCCAACGATGAGGACGTCAACGATCACAAAGATCAGCGCGTTGCAAGTTTCACCGATGCCCGCAGATTCTGACAGGCGAATGGATTGACCACTTTTCGTAAACTTCCGCTCATACATCAACAGTTCGCGTGAAAAGATGGCCCCGAGCCGAGCAGACGCGACGGAAGTTTGCTGGCTCGCATAGAAGACACGAGGGTAGAAGGTGTGGGGCTAGAGAAACGCGTATACTCACCCCCATATAGCAGACGAATTCCTTGTTGCATATGGTCTTGTTAGGTTTGTTGATGGATGGCGGACACTGGGGACCGCGGCCGTTGCAAAAGCTCGCATCTCTGCATCCGTTGTCGTGCCTGCACTTATCGCCGTTGCGCAGAGTGCAGCCGGATGTGCAGCAAGGACCCTGGAACAGAACATTGCGAGTAACGGTGTCCGTAGATAATACTGTATACGGTTAGAACGTACATGGTCATTTATTTTTTAGGTTATCGGAGGTAGAACGCGCCGGTTTTGCTAAAACGACGACGTTAGAATTGAATTTTCTCTCCTAAATTAGATAGACTCTTTTAATAGTCGAAACTTATGGCTGAAAAATATTTTACATGGAAAAATGAGCAGAAAACGAGGGATAACATTTTTCTGCCGAAGGCCTTGTTTGCGAGAAAATCGACGTTGGGCTCCAGCGCCAGTAGAAAAATCGATCAATGGTCAGACGCGCCAACCAAACCGTATTCGATTGCAATTATCTCGAAAACGAAGACTCGAGCGAAAAAATGTTATTCTAGCTTTTCGTCTTGTGTTTACACGTAGAATCATCCCCCGCCTGGTTGAACCACCCCTCTCGTCCCCACCCTCTATATAAGGGTAACTTTGTCGAACTTCATAATTTTCTGCCCAAGCATGTTAATTCCATTTTATTGTCAATCTCCAGAAATTAAATTATACCGTGGTATTTGAAGCCAACGAATTCCATTGCACTGAAATCCTAAAACGCGAGACAAATTCAGCGAGCTACTTATCTTCTGGTTCACAATGAAATGAATGCGATGAAAGGGAGGCGATAACTATTGATATTACGTGGTCACGCGAGCAATTTCCCGGCGGCTGATTGCGATTTTATAATTGCCGCATGCTCGCGGCTTTATCTCATCGAAAATTCATGATTCACGGGTCTTCTGGCACAACGTACGGCGCGTGGTATTTTTTTTTTCTCTTTTTTCCTTTATCCAGCAATTCACCGACTCCCGGTTATCGGCGCTGCTTTGTCGTCCGCTAATTTATTTCTCCACGTGTCGACGATAATGCGCTGGCTGCTATTTGCTGGTACGCACTCTGGATCGCTTTTCGAGAGCATTGTACCAGACAGCGAACAATATCTCGATTCCATTCCCCTTTTTTCTCTAAACTCCATGAGCTCTGTTGTTTCTTTGAATTTCTTCGGACCGATTTCACGAACACATATTCCCTCCAACATTATTTTTCCTTGAAACATTTTGCTACAGTTCGTTTCCTCGAAACATCTATTCTCCCCCTCCATTACTTCGGAGGTTTTTCTTTTTTCATTTTTTACCCTGGAAAATATCTTCCTTGCAACATTTTCTTCCCTCGAAGTCGTGTAACTTTGGTCTTTCTTTTGGAACATTAACTTCACCGTGATCTGGTGGTCTGTTCAACAGAGAACGTAGTCAATAAACTAACGTTCTATTGTTTGCAGTAACTGTTTAATGTACCCTCTCGATAAGCCTGTAAACGTGATGCTACGTATGTCTTGATGTTCAATGAAGCTTGTAACTGTTATATCGGGCAGTGACGCGTGACGTGTACTAGCTTGCACTAATAAACTGACTGCAGTCGATCAGAGAACTATTAGCTATCAATGCGTAAGCCGAGTAACATCGAACAAGCGAATTCGAAAGCATCGTAAAACATTTTCTATGATTTCAAACCAACGGCGAAACATCTACAGCACACATAAAAATTTACTTCGTTTTGAGGGATATCCTTTAATTACGAGGTTGACGGAACTTGAAAAGCTGGATGATTTATTGAAATTCACTTAAGCGGAATTAAAAGCGAATTCTTTGAGGTACAGTTCAAACAGCCACGTATAAAAGCACTTCCGCGCTGTTTATCGTTTTACTTCGTTCGGTGGCTTGTTTATTTCCAGGAATCGTCGACGTACGGAGCAAACGAACCCAAGAATATGATTCGAGGAAGTCAAGTTCGGTGATTTCAAAGGCAGAGGCGAATAGAGATGTAGCAACGTAATTATTTCAATCGCCAGATATCTCCGCTCGTTCGAACATCAATTTCTACGCGAATAAATTTGTATAGAAAGCAGCCGAAGTATTGTGACGTTCGTCTGTTCGATACACGACGTATAATAACGATAATTCTTCGTCTCCATTTTCCAACGACGTCGTTAGTTTCACTTATCGTTAAAAGATTCGCCAAGTTATTGTTTGTCGTGTATTCGGAATTTACTTTCGAGGATCATCCACGGCGGGATGAATATTTATAGAAATTCGAGAACACAGAGGGAAGTTCGAGATTTGGAAGAGAACTGTGCAAACACGCCGAAGAAGTACACCGGAAGACGAGGGCACAAACAGACCGCGAAACCGCGATTTCACGCTCGGGAAAACTTCCTGCGGTGTTTTTCCTCCGATCGATGCGTGTATCTTGGTCCGCACGGATCACTAAGCGCCATCTTGTACCCTACACGTTCTAGTTTTGTACGCTCGATACGGGAATTGGACGTAACCCGGATAACTGACACACAGATGGCACAGTATCGTTTCAGTTATCCGGGGATCACAGTGTGTTTAAGAAATCTGTCGAGCAAAGGCTCCAGGGAGTTCGATTTCCCATGGTGGGATATCGAGGACGAATTTAAAAATTCAGAAAGCTCGAGGAAATCCCAACACGAATCGATCTTGTACAATGGGAGCGACGATTTATCAGAAATTCAGCGTCTTTTCTAAACAGGAACTCCCCGGCGAATCGACGGCCGATAATTTTCGGTTTAATTAAATCGTCGAAAGGTGGAGGACCGCTGGGAGATGGGCGGACGAGGTGTGGGTGAGCGTGGACGTTTAAGCGAATCGAATGATTTTCGCTTAACGTGCAGATAAGAACGATCCACGGTTTGAATATCTGATAGAAGGATACCCGTGGGACCGACAGCCGATGCTTGGAAAATAAGGTTCCCCGGTCCGATGCGTTTTCCGGTTCAACGAATTGGCACGGATAGCAGCGGAAGAAATTCGATGCTGATGCAAGTGGATGTATTCTCGGCCGGTGCATATATCAGAAAATAAATAACCCGATGGAAAAGTGCAGTCGGTCCATGAGAATGTTGCCGGCGAGCGGGAAATCCGGTCTCGCGGGCTTTATCAGGACAGTGCATTCGCTTTCTGGGGATGCTGTGCGACGTACCAGGGAGAGAAAAAGGTGAACGCCGGGACGTTCACCGAGGGACGTTGTTTTCCGACGAGTTCGACGAAAGGAACTTGCTGAACGACCGAAAGATTTTCGGGCACAGCGAGTTGGAAGGAATTGCATAGGTCGATCGTTTGTCAATTGCGTCGAGAAAGCTGCAACTGTACAAAAAGAGGAACTGTCGAATTAGAATTCCAAACGATACAAAGGTGAATCCTTAGAGTCTGATGATAGAACGCAGCCAGTTAAATGATTAGGGGATTGATCGAGCTAAGGGGTTAAAGTGCTGAAAGCAACACCGAGTACCTAGGTCGGTGGTTAGTTTTATCGCCAGGCCTGCAGCCCGTTCAACGAAAGAAATATTTTATTCGCCCTGGTAGCAGCAAGAGAAGCTTCCAAGTTGTAATTCCCCGAAGACAAAGGGCGTTCCTTAACCCCGTAATTGCTCTTAACGTGCCTGACTTTGTATTTGATTAGAAAGATAACTTCTACCGGAGCTCAAGATAAAGCATTCTTCATTCCAAGGGTAGTGATTAACGTTTTCAATCAATGAACGGATAAGGCTTATCTCCGGGCGGACTCGAAGCTGCAATTCCAAGAAGATTTAGGGGTCGCTTAAACGCCCTGAGCCACGTACGTCAAGATACTTGCTCTTTATTTAGCCTTTCGTGCATTCTTAATCCGGAACGATAAGACGAATCGCTAAATGCAGCCTCGTGAGCTTGCGGTTTCAAGAATGATCGAGAGCCCCTGCTGAAATTTGAACCGGCCGAGAAATCTGCTCGACGATCGCTTCATCGACCCCTTCGTTTAAACCCGCGTCCACCTAATCGCCCAGCCCGTTAATTTCCAACGATTAGTCTTATCGGCGAGCTGATAGGTCAAGAAACATTTCTGAAACGCCTGATGATCTTACGTACGTTCAGAACTTGGGGATTAAAGTCCTACAGTGCTTCGGTTTAAGGATATATCCATAAATGTGACCTGGATAATATTTTTCGTTGCCTATTTTCATCTCAACAGAGATATCTAGGCGTGTTATTGTTGTTGATCATCCTGGTGTGCTGGAAAGTTTGAGAAATATGTCTGTGCCAAAATTCATACCCAGCGTTCATCTAACCATTTAATCAGTTGTATTTTGCAATTATTGTCACTCAGAGAGTTAACTGAAATTAGGAATCGAGGCGGACCAATCGTCTGTCGCCGCGAACTACGTATCTGCATGACGTACACGTCTCGATCGGCACAGACCCGCACGTAATAACGGAAACCGAGCGGTTTTCCTCCGCGAGCCTTATGGCCGCACTGAATCCCGCCTCCACCGTCCTCCCAGCACTCCGAAACGTAATAACACGGGACTGAAACGAATCAATTTATCGAATTTCAATACTTCAATAGGAAGAATTCCTTGCACGAAAAAGGCAGAGAGCTCGACAATGGCAGGAAATCACGGATGTCCGTCCTCCTTCGAGTAATTGCCGCCGCGGATGTAGCGAAATGCCACCGCTAACGAACCGTGGAATTATTCGAATCGCTTCTGATGCGATTCATCCGGAACTGTGAACCGACAAAAGTATTTTCGCGCGGTCCCTCTGTTCCTTTTTTTATTTAAAAACTGAAGAAGTCGAAGTTTCTGTATCCGCAATATTTAAAGTTCCCGCGGGGACAACGCGACACTAGCGCCGCCACGTGTGCGCAAGGCAGGTGCGCGGAAGACGACTTTCACTACTATGCTTGCGTTTTGTGGATGTAAAAATATTGAGTATTATGATTACTTTTACAAAATGTTCAATATCTTCGAGCCTGTAATGTTTTTAATTTACAATCGACACCAGCAGAGGAAGTCTAATGTAAATTTCCACGATCAATAATTAAATGCGAGCGCACCGTGGCGTGAAACATAGAAATCTCTATTCAAACGCGTACAGTTTGATTGAAAACTGTGTAACGCGAGCAAACAAT